GGTAACGTTCTTACTGAAACGTTTTCGAGGCTCATGCTGTACCTTGGATTATCGTTACAAGACGTATAATTTTATTCTTGTGACAATTGTCCGATCTCGAACATTCCCGCCCGCCTCGTCATTATCGTGACGAAACGAGCAGGCTCGGTTGGCGTTCTCGTAGATGGCGCGTTCACTTTTGACTGATTGGCGCTATCGAGCAGCGCGGTGGATCGCAGTGTGGGGTGCTGTCGCGCAGGACCGGCCCGCAGAAACGCGATACGTCATTAGTTGATGATTGCATTCAATTAACGCAGAATGTTCGTGCGGGCCCTTTCCGCATATCGGTGGTGAGGCTGAACGGCGCGTTGCTGCGTAATTGCAGCGGAACATCGCGAAGTGAATTTAAGTGTTGCCGAAGTGCAGTCAGTGATGTTAGCTGTGCCGCTTTCTGGCGCATGCGCACTGCAATAGCAGTGAAATCCAGTAACGTATATAAGATGTGGGAGATGAACACTGACAGTTCTGGCGGAATTTGGGACAGCAGGAAAGTTAAGTGTGTGGGATGAAAATGTAAGTAGTATACATGGTTGGCTTTCCATTCCGAAGTAAATAAAGCATTTTGTATAGCATATGTAATGTCAGCATTAGATGTCGGACAGATTTGATATAGCATTCACGAACGGCTAAACATATAGATAATATTAAAGGTTAAAACCTCGAAAACGTTAATAATAATGTTAACGTAGTGTCTCATGATTTATATCTTTTTACATGTTTTACATCTTTTTATTCACAATTAAAAAATTTGTATATAATTTTTATAGAAACATCAAAGTAGGGTTCCTGTAGGACCTGTATACATCCTGTTTTGATACTGCATTGCTGCTGTACTTGAACGCGCATGCGCCAGAAAGCGGCACAACTAACATCATTGAGTGCAGTGAAATGGTTGCAACGATACGGACGGTGTGGTTTCGCGGTATCGCCCTAGAAAGTCAATGGCGAAGCGAGGCGTGGATACAATCGCGACATGAGTGTGACGCGGGGACGAGACAACGTATTTTTTCCCGTCTTCTTACTTATCCCCGGAGGGAGTGGTTGAATCGCGATCTCCCGGCAGCAGCACCAACTTGACGAGGGGTCGCACCAGCTCCGTGGATGCCGTGCGAACCGTCGCGACGCGGGTTACGCCATCCTCGCCTGGATGCAACTTGGTGATACGGGCCAAGGGCCATCGGCTTGGTGGCGTCGTCTCGGTGCGGACGATGCACAGGTCACCGATGCGAGGGACGACATCCTTGGTTAACCATTTTGGACGCGCTGCCAGGGAGTGGATGTACTCGCGCGACCACCTTTGCCAAAAGTGGTCGCGCATCTTTTGCAAATGCTGCCACCGGGAGAGCGTATTATCTGCCCTTTCGTGCAGCGACGGCTCTGGAACGGCCAGCAGCGGGGCGCCGATAAGGAGGTGCCCAGGCGTCAGGGCGGAGATGTCGTCTGGGCAGTCGAAGAGTGCTTGGAGTGGCCGGGAGTTGAGGCAGGCTTCCACCTGAGCAAGGAGAGTGCTCATCTCCTCAAACGTGAGGGTAGTGTCGCCGATTACTCGACGAAGGTGAAATTTCGTCGATTTTACGGCTGCCTCCCATAGGCCTCCAAAATGCGGCGCGGACGGCGGGTTGAAATGCCACCGGATGCCCTGGTTAGCGACGTGTGTTGCGATGCGACAGCCGTCGGAGGAAGACGCTCGAAGCAGCTCCTTGAGTTGCCGATCGGCGCCGACGAAGTTCGTGCCGCAGTCTGAAAAAATGTCGGTGCAGAGTCCTCGGCGCGAAGTGAACCGGCGCAGTGCGGCCAGGAAAGCGTCGGTTGAATAATCCGACACCACCTCGATGTGCACGGCTTTGGAGCTTAGGCACACAAAAATGGCAATGAATGCCTTGTGTGATCGATGACCTCGCCCCTTGGTCGTGCGGACAAAAATCGGGCTGGCGTAGTCAATGCCGGTCCGGCTAAACGGCCGCGCTGGAGTCACGCGTTCCCTCGGAAGATCGCCCATCGGTGGTTGCAGCGTGACTGCTCGCCATCGGGTGCAAGTAACGCACCGATGAAGCCAGCGTTTCACGACGGTTCGGCCCTGCGGGATCCAGAAGCGGAGTCGGAGCATCCCAAGCGTCAGCTGAACTCCCCCGTGCAGAGTGCGTCGGTGATGAGCCTCCACTAGCAGCTTTGTGAGGTGGGACCATGGAGGTAATATCAGCGGGTGTCTTTCATCGAGTGGTAGCGCAGAGTGCCGCAGTCGTCCTCCCACCCTGAGCACCCCGTTGTCACTCAGGTAAGGACTCAATTTTATTAAAGTGCTCCTTTTCGATAGTGCGCGGTTGTCCTCGGTGGTCGCGACCTCGGTAGGGTAGTGCAGAGCTTGCACCACTCGGAGCCACCGCACAAGAGCCGCGTCGAGTTCGTCGGCACGTAGTGTTTGCGCCGGTTGACTCGCTCGAGCCCTCCTCGAGACGTTTCGCCAACGCAGGCACCAGGCGGTCACCCTCAGGAGCCGGTGCAACTCGGAGAACCGGAGGAGGAGCTCCGGCTCTTCGACGGTCTCGGTGACGGCACCGTGAGCAGTGGCTCTCCCCTCGGGGATCTCCCGGGGAGTGACGTCAGGGGTCTCCATCGGCCAGCTCGCTCGGTCCTCGTGCAGCCAGGAAGGGCCAGACCACCACAGAGGATGGTGTAAGAGGTCGGTTGGCGATATCCCCCGGGAAGTGCAGTCGGCAGGATTCTCTCGGCCCGGGACGTGACGCCATTGAGCCTCGGGAAGGAGCTCTTGGATAAGAGCCACTCGGTTGGCCACATACGTCTTCCATCGTGACGCGTGGCTTTGGATCCAGTTCAGCGCTACCTGCGAGTCTGACCAGAGGAATACTGGAGCTGCGGACAGATCTAAAATTGACTGAGTGTGTGCTACGAGTTTGGTGAGCAGGGCAGCGGCGCAGAGCTCTAGACGCGGCAGAGTGACGGGCTTGAGCGGGGCAACTTTGCCTTTGGCGGTGAGCAACTGCACGCGGACTCCGGTGCCATGCTCGAGGCGGAGGTAGACCGCCGCTGCGTACGCCCGTTCTGAAGCATCGGCAAAGCCGTGGAGCTCAGCGCGTGAACTCTTGGCGCCACTGCCGAGCCAGCGGTTCACACCCTCGAGGAGTGGCAGCTCCTTGAAGAGGCTCTCCCATTGGAGCGTGTCCACTGACGGAAGTGGCGTATCCCAATCCAGCCGCTTCATCCAGGTCGCCTGAATCAGAATTTTCGCTCGGATGCTGACGGGTGTCAACCATCCGAGCGGATCGAAGAGTCGCGCCGCGGCCGTCTCCGCGAGAACGCTCCTCTTCGTGTAACTGGCAACGACACGAGGCTGTATCGCGAACGCGAAGGTGTCGTCGTTGGGATGCCATCGCAGTCCCAACGTGGAGTGTATCTCGTGCTCCCACGAGTGTGGTTTGGTCAGGCGGTGTTCAAGTGGAATTCCGGCGAGAATCTCAGGGCAGTTCGCGGCCCATTTGCGGAGTGGAAACCCGCCCGCCATGCAGAGCTGGTGGAGCTGGGTCTTGACCGCAATCGCGTCGGACTTTTCGTGAGCGCCGGTGACTACGTCGTCGACGTAGCAGTCGCGGCGCAGGACCGCGGACCCGCGCGGAAAATTTTCTTTTTCGTCGACCGCGAGCTGCCGCAGCGTGCGGGTGGCCAGGAACGGCGCGCACGCGAGACCATACGTGACCGTATTGAGACGAAACTCGCGAACCGGCTCAACTGTTGAGTGCCGCCAGAGTATCCGCTGGAAATCGCGGTCTTCGGGAGCGACGAGGATCTAGCGGTACATTTTTTCGACATCAGCGATGATGGCGTAGCGGTGCCACCGCCAGCGCATCAGGACGTCAGCGAGAGTAGGCAGCAGGTTTGCTCCCGTGAGAAGATGGACGTTGAGCGAGTCGCCGGACGTGGTTCGCTGCGACCCGTTAAACACCACCCTCAGCTTCGTGGTAGCGCTTGACTCCCGGAGCACTCCGTGATGCGGAAGATAGCACTTACCGTTGGTGGGAGGATTAGACCCGCCGGTCACACGCGTCATATGCTGAACGTTCTCGTACTCCCTTAGGAAGGAGCGGTAGAGTTCTCCGAACCGTGTGTCCCGGCTGCCTTTCCGCTCTACGGCGTGCAGCAGGCGTTCCGCAGACTTGCGGGTCTCCGTGAGTGTTGGCGGCGGAGAGGCAAATGGCAGCCTCACCATGTACCGCCCTGAGGAGGTGCGAGTATGAGTGCGAGTGAAGAACTCCTCGCACAACTGCTCGTCAGGAGTGAGGGCGATGGGAGCGGAGGGTTCCTGCTCCTGCTCCCAAAAGCGCTGCACGAGCGAGGAAAGCTCGTGCTCAGCCGAGCACTGAAGGGAGGTGCGCGGCTTCGAACCTGAAGAGA